GCACCATATGAAATTGTCATTTCTGTGGGTCAAAACAAAAATAGTCAGATATCATCAATTTCATATGGTTCAAGTTAATATGTTACCCTAAGGGTCTTGAATCTTAGTGTTTCTCAAACTTCTGTCATTCTTGAACCAACTTCATGATTTTAACCTTCCAGGAATTCCTAGCTACTAAGTATCCTGTTGATTTTTATATAAAGAGGCTCCCTTTTTTACTTAGATAAATTTATTTTAAAAGGAAACTTTATGTCAAAATGGAAAAAAATGTATCATTTGACATAAAAAGTAGCTCTGAAAACGAAACTCTTGCTAGATCCTGCTGCCTGCCATGCTCTGGCTAAAAATAGTCCCCCAGAAAGAGGTCTAAACAATTGTTAGAGAAGTTTGCCGCTGGAAAGTTTGAGAGAGAGGACATCATTTAAGAACCCAAGAAAGTTCATGGCAGGGATTTCAAGAAGATGGAATTGAGAAATATTTGGGAGTGAAAATCACCATGTTTAATGAGATGTGGTAGAAGAGAAAAGGAGAATCAAGAATGGCCTTCAAATGCCTAGCCTGGAAGGCGGAGGGTAGATGGTGGTGCCAGCTAGATGTGGGAAACAATAATTTAGGAGGGGAGGTGGATGAGGTAAATTTTGCGCATCTTGCATTTGAGATACCCAACAAAACAGCAGGGTGAGGTTTGGGAGCAGAGCTGTTGGGTGCAGACGGCCCTTGAAGCTGAGAATGTAAGCCCTCTGATAGAGGAGCTAGGGAGGCAGCCATTTGGGTGGCTGTGCTTTGCTGCAGATCCTCCCAGCCTGAGAATAGGTCTTTGCCCTCGCCGATGGAAGAGCGTTGGAGTTTCCGGGGGGCAACAGTGTTCTTAGTCATCTCTGCCTCAAGAGCTCCTAGGAGGAAGAGGGGGAGGAGAGGAGGTTTAAGAAGATGGCAAGTTCCATCTTGAGCCTGCTGAGTCATAGGGCCACGGGGCGGGGGAGGGGGGACATCCAGGGGGAAATGCCCATCCAAACAAATTCTGAACTCCATCCAGGCACTCTGAAGTTTGAGTCATCCTATAGATTTGAGAGTCACCAGCCTATAGGGGGTGGTAGAAACCATGAGAGTGGCTGAGAACACCCAGAGTGTAGTACCAAAAAAGTAGCAGACCCAGGACTAAACCAAGAGGAACCACATCATTTAAGGGAGAGAAGTGGTGGAAAAGGAGACCATTAAGGAGACAGAGAAGGAACAGATTCAGGAGAGTGAAGTGTCGTGGAAGCCCGTAGCCTGGAGTTTCCCAGAGAGGAGAAATCACTGATGTCAGATACAGCAGAGACGTCTGCCACTATGAAAACAGCTTGCAATTGGGATTTTACTGGTGACCTTAGAAAAGGTGTTTTCAGTATAGTGGTGAGAATAGAAACCAACATTCGTACTGCACTGAGGAGATGAACAAACATAGACATCAAATGTATACTATATTTTTGGGGAGGTATAACATACCTTTCTTACTTATTCACTCAATATTTATTAACCAGCTACTATGTGCCAGGCACGATTCTAGGTGGTCATGAATAAAGCAGTGAACAAAAAGTCCCTGCTTTGTGGAGCTTACATTCTAAGGGTAGAGAAAGAGAGACACTATATAGAAACATACCAGGTGGATGTAAGTTTTTTGAAGAAAAATAGTGACAGATATGTGTGTGTGTGCACATGCGCTGTTTTATATCAGGTGATTAGATAAGGTCTCTGATGGAGTGACTTTTTTTCTTTAAAGATTTAATTTATTTGGCAGAGAGAGAGAGAGCACAAGCAGGGGGAGCAGCAGACAGAGGGAGAGGGAGAAGCAGGCTCCCCACCAAGAATGGAGCCTGATGTGGGGCTCAATCCCAGGACCCTGGGATCATGACCTGAGCCAAAGGCAGATGCTTAACCGACTGAGCCACCCAGGTGCCCCAATCGAGTGACTTTTAAAAGGGATTGCTGAGTTTGTTTTAAAGGACAATATCAGATTAATTGTAGTCCTTAACTCTTGGTACATTGTCTACAATGTTAAAATACTTAAATTATAGGTTTTATCACTCCCCTACCTAGAATCCATGAAAGATTACAATAAAATACAAATTCCTTGCCATGGTCTCTAATCCTAATCTGCCTTCCTCATCAAATTCATCTTCTCCTTCCCGTTCCACTGCAGCCATACTCACCAAAGCTAAATTGATTGAATGCATGATTGATTGAATGAATGAAGTGTGCCAGTTGGATAGTGTCTTCTCAGGTGGCTTCTCTGGCAATGGGCATCAAGGTCAAAGAGCTTGAGCCTTGGTGCTGGACAAACATGGCTTTGACACCTGGCAGTGCTGCTTACATGTTCTATGACCTTTCGCAGGTCTAAATCCTTAGTTTTCTCATCTGTGAAATGGAGATTGCATGAGATCTATATTGTAGGAATAAGGATAAAGTTGATAGTTCATGCAAATTGTTTAGCATGATGCCTGGCATATTGCAAGTGCCAAGAATTTGGATTATTATCATCATCATTGTTATTACTTTGATCAGCCCTCCTCAGTTAACAGATAAGGAAGCAGGGCTGGCCACAGTGAGTCAGGAGGAGAGGTGACCAGCATTAGGTATTCAGACACGTGGGCAGGCCAGTGTGGGCTTTGGTGCTGAGCAGAGCCCTTTGGGGTTTGTCGTTTACTGTGTTTGAGCTCATTGCTCAACCTTTCAGAGGGTTCTCCCTCCTTAAAAAGCCTCAGGAGATTGTTGGCGGGTGGAGAGATGACATGTGTAAGAGTGACACCGAGTTGGGCCCACCCACCTAGAAGGCAAGTAGCGCTTCTTCCCGCCCCGCCCCTGAGGTGGTGCTGCCTTCTTAATCTCCACTTAACCCAGTGGGTTTTATTTATTTATAATTTAATCAATCCAGACTTAATCCAATCAGTGTATCTCTTTCTTCCTCGCCTGCCCTCCTCCCCTTTCTCTCTTTACTGTCCAGCCCTGTCAGTTCCAGGCTCACTGCCTTTGGAGTTATGTTTTTTAACAACTTCCTTCCAAGGGCATTCTCAGCAAAGACCATAACCACATTCTAAATTTCGGGGGCTGAGGGCACGGGTTCACTTACATTTTCTAAGCACCAATGTCCTCATCTGTGAAATGTATAGTGAGGATTAATTAAAGATAACATTACTGGTTGATAGCCCTCTGCCAGGTATGTTCACACACAATCTCATTTAATTTACAAGACAGTGGTGCCGGGAGGCAGATCTTTCATGCAGCTCCATCAATATTTACTGAGTGCCTACTATGTTCTAAGTACTGTTTTAGCCACAGCACGATGGGAAGAGATTATAAAAACATGAGCCACTAAATAAGGTAATTTCAAATTGTGATAAATGCTCTAACAAAAATAAAGAGCTAAGAGGAGGCATTTAGGTTACTACCTAGATATAATTTATATAAATTCATATAGTATAAAAATATCAAAGTATAAACATGTTACTTTAAAATTTTTATGGTAGCTTCTTTTCCTGGTAAATACAGATTCTCAGTGGACTTCTCTCTGAGGCCATCACAGAATGCTGCTTGGCCCTCTTTAGACAAAGGGCCTCAGAGAGTTTCTGGGCCTGATATTCTGAAATTGTTAGTAGAGTTTAATCCACCTTCAAGGCAGTCTGTGAGAGGTGTGGATTTAGAATCTCAGACCATTTCCTGGAGCTGGCAATCTCCACTTTCATTGCTGTATTTGAGGAAGGCAAATCCAGCCTGCGAAACCAAGAAAGATGCCATCCCTAAGTAAATAACCAACTGAGCATGTTTGAAGGATGTGAAACAAAGATGAATGTAGTCAATTCAGAAAAAATGAGCCCGTTGGGGAAGAAAACAGTGGCTACAGCTGTGCAGAACAAAACTGCCCAGATGGAGGGTTTTATATTCTCCTTTACAGCAGAACACAATATTCTCTTTACCAAAGCAATGAATTTCCCCCAATAATTGCTGCTTTAAAAAAGGGGGGAAAAAACCTACTGTATACCAGTTGCTTAACATAACATATTAATAAGCTTCACAAGAAATATATGAAGTAGGAGGAAACAATTTCAGCCGGTGTAAGTAACTTGACCAAGAGTCACTGTTAGCACTGGCAGAGTTGGGGGTTGGGGCTCAGTGACAACCTGAGCCCCAGCCCTGCATCCTTTACACCCACCATCCAACCAACCTCAGATGCTGCCTGCTTGGTAAGATAGAGGAGTGGCAGAGCCCAGACGAGGAGAGGTCCAAGCGGGAGGCCCTCCATCCACCAGCAGTCCTCCCTCAACACACGGTTCAGCCCACGGAACCTCACCTCACCATTCCATGAACAGCAGAGGCCTCCTCTGCTATGGAGGACAAGATGGTCGGTTGTTTTTTATTTTTTTTATTTGTTTTTCAGTGTTTGAAATGACTCTAGTACCAGTCAGCCTGAGATTGCTCTTTTCCAAAATTAAAATACCTTTAAGTTATTTTCATCATGGGGTGACTGGCTGGCTCAGTTGGTAGAGCATATGACTCTTGATCTTGGGATTGTAAGTTCGAGACCCACACTAAGTGTAGAGATTACTTAAAAATAATAAAGTCTTAAAAAAAAAGTTATTTTCGTTTAAAAGTAGACCATACTTGTTGTAAAAACTCAAAAGTGTGCCCACCAGAAGATTCCCATCTTTCTCCCATAGTATAGCCTTAAACTGCCTTCTGAGCAGAATAAGATGGGTCTTTTAATTCCTCTCCCAGGGGGCCCTATAGTGTAGGTAAGAGAGTTAGGGAGTCCCCCACAAGTTTTCAGATGATAATCTGGGCTGGCCTTAGTTTTCAACAAACCTTCATGGAATGTCACCTGTGTGTTAGGTGTTGCTGATCTAAGATGGACAAAATAGCCTCTGACTTTAGGGAACTCATTTTGGTGTTAAACACCCTTGTGTAAACCAAGGATTGCAGTGGTAATCCCTAGTGAACATATACAGAATACCATTTTTAGGACTGGTTAAAAACTTTCTCTTTAATCAGAATGACACATAATTTACTAATCAGGGAAGTATTCATATACTCAAGTGTAAGAGTTCTTTACTTTGCAGGTAAGTCTGACTCAGGCTGACACAGATGGGGCAGAGGAGTGGGGTGCACCCTCTCCAGTAATCCCTAGCAGCATGCATTGTTTCCTTTCAGTCTGGTTGCTGAGATCTCCCTAGGTAACATGCGCAAAATGTTCCATGTGCCCCGAGTATATGCCAGGTCGGTTAGTCAGCAATTCTGCTTCAAGAATCGGCCTATTTTCCATTACACCAATGGTCCATTTTCAAAATGGAAGGAATTTAAAATGTAAAAGCATTTGCTGTGGAGAAGAGGGAGACTTTAGGACCAGGGCCAGAATCCAAGTCTCCTCACACCCAGTTTGATGCCTTTTCTGTTACACCCCACAGTTGAGTCTTAGGGCACCAAGTGGGTGGTCATTAATCTTGTATGGACTTTTTATCCAGTGTTGATTATATCATCTGTATTGTGCTGTGCAGCAGAGATTTAAAGCTGGACAGGTTGGTCACTGCACTTGATAAACAGCCCAGTGGCAAGACAGAAGAAACAGTTGACTATCTACACGCTGAAAGGGGTCAGTTGCAGAGGGAGGGACACCAAGCTTGAGTGGTGGGAACACAGTAGGGAGGGCTTCTCAGCATAGTGAGTGAATGAAAGCTCATTTGAAGAAACTATATTTTCCCCCCCTCCTTTGCCCAGAACTGGGATCTGGGCTTTCCCACACCGGTTGAGAGGGTGAGAGGTCAGGCTAACTACATTGCCAGGTTGCTGCTGGACATTGGATTAGGATCTAATCTGATCTAGTCAACTGAGATGTAATCAATGCTGATATTTTTAGTTTTCAACTGTTTCCTTGTTCTTTTATTAGTAATTATAGTATTATTTAGTGCTTCTTGGATGATGTCTTGGGCTGGTGTGATTCAGGTCCTACTGCTTCAGATGAAACAGCCTTTCATCCATTCACTCGAGAAGTGTTTATTTGGTGCCTATGTACCAGACACTATTCTGGGGGAAAGTGAGACACACAGGCTCACGTATGATATTATCTCACGTAGCTAAGCTGTTTGACTTTTGGCAAATCCCTTTCTCCCTCCGGCTCCCAATTCCTCGACCTATTCAGAGATGTGCCCTCACAGTGGACCTAAACCATTTAGATTCAAATTTCAAGTTCATCTCTTTCCTGTTGGGTGACCACACGCAGGTTAATTTGGGCTCCCCGAGCCTGTTTTCTCATCTGTAAAATGGGGATAATAGAACTCGTCCCATCGCGTTGCGCTCAGGGTGAAATAAAGACAGCCAGCCCCTGGCGCTCCGCGCGCTCAGCCCGGGTGGTCGCTGAGGTTCCCCTCGGCCGACGCTGGGTGGGCCGGTCGGCCCCAGACCCGCCGACAGGTGGGAATCTGGGCGTGGCTCCCAGCCCCCGGCCCGGGGGCGTGGCGAGGGTAGGACAGATAAAGCCAGTGTGTCCGGCGCGGCGGCCGCGTTCCGTCTTGACTGGACGGCGGGCAGGTCGGCTCGGCTCGGGCTGCGGGCGCCGAGGACCGAAGCGGAGCTGCCCGGCGGCGGCTAGCGGGGAGCCGGCGCGCCCGGACCACCCGTTCCGGCTCCTCGCGCGCGGCCGCCGAGCGGGCGCTGGGAACGCCGCCCCCCCCGACACCCTCCCCAACCCCGGCCCTGGGGCGGGGCCTGCAGCCGGCCGCCCCCGCCCTCCCCTCGCGCCCCGCGCCCCCCCGCCGCGCCCGCCGCCGAGGCCCGGAAGGGGCCAGTCGCTTCCGTCTCCGCCGGGGATGCACGGAGGGCGGAGCTGCGGCCCGAGGACGCGACGCGAGCCCAGTTCCGGCGAGGAGGCCGCGCCAGTGACAGCGATGGCGGCGGAGTCGGCGCTCCAAGTTGTGGAGAAGCTGCAGGCGCGCCTGGCCGCGAACCCGGACCCGAAGAAGGTGAGCGAGTGCGCAGCGCGGAGAGGGACGGGCGTTGGGCGCGGCGCGGCCCGGTAACGGTCGCGGGCCCGGGCGCGGCCCCTTCCCGACCGGCCGGGGCCGCGGGGGCTCGGACCCGGAGCCAGGCCCCGCCGGGCTGCGGCCTGGGTGGGCAAGTTCGCGGCAATGGGCCGCTGCCCGCGCGGGGCAGGGGGGCGGGGGGCGCACGACGGGCGCGGGGCCTCGGCGGGCCCGGGCCCGGGGCGCCCGCGGGCTCCCGGCGGCTGGGGCGCGCTCGGTGCGGACGCGGCGGGCCGGCCGGGCCCCCGGAGCCGCTCCCTCGGCGTCCCGGGCCAGCTGTTTCCCGCGGGGCGAGCCCGCTGGAGCCGATCCTCTCCCCGCGAAACGTGCCTGCTTGCCTAGTGTCTTCGGATGTTCGTTCCGAGGGAAAAGGAGCCGGTTCCGCCTGCGCTCCGATGGGGTCTAGGCTCAGTGTGCGGTCCTGCGTCTCTGAGAGACGTTTTTATGGCTTTCCGGCTTGATATCAGAACGTGGACCTTTGCGCTTTCTCAGTAAATCCCGTTCAGAACAAAACAGAATAAACCTCACGTCCCCTAGCTGTACGCACACCTAAAAACTTAGGTTGCAGTCGGAACAAACAAACAAAAAGGTTAGAAGTTGCAGTTCGATTTCTTTTTGGCCTTGATAGAAAGGTAAGAGCTACCTTTTCTCGTTGCTGCGAGTGATGGGCACCATTTTTAATTGTGCTAAGCTTTTTTTGGTTAACCTTTTTACTGTTTTTGTGAAGTTGAACGCATTCCTCTCCCCTCTCGACTTTGTTTTATCCAGCTTCTCAGTGTCTGGGAGAGTGGATGTTAGAAAAAAAAATTTTTTAACTCAAATACACTGATGAAAACACTTAGGTGTTAGACATTCTCTGTGAGCACTCTAGCTCACAGTGTGCAGTTCCTAAGAGTTGGATCTCTGAGCCCCAGAGTGCCTTTTGAAGAGGAAGTAATGGAGGGAGCCAGGCGAGATAAAGTGGTGGTGAGATTTGAGTTCTAATCCATTTACCAGCCATGGACGTTGGGGACGCACTTCGCTGAGTGTGTTTGCTCACCTGCTTCTTCCTAGGACCCAAGTCAGAGGGGGAAGGCCAGGCTTATAGGAAGTGCTCAGTAGATATTAATCACCACTCTTTACAGGGTCTTTGTTTTGTTTTGTTTTTCCTGAAGGGCTCCTTTCTCTCTTCACCTTGTTCCCAGCCTGTCATAGATGAGATTTTTTTCCCTCCTAAAGGCTGTGCAAAGCATGTCACCATCAGGCCACTCTTTAACTCTTCTCACGTATAACTAGAGCCACTTCTTCAGGAAGCCATTTTAGTTTTAAATCTGTGAAAACTTAAATGCTTTTCATTGTTTATGTTCTATATTTCATTGCAGCTCCAGTACCTAGTGGCCAGACATATTTACAAGTTTCTTTTTACAATAACCCTTTGTGGACATCTAATAAATGGTCATTATTTTTGAGCACTAGTTGGTTTTCCTTAACACTTTAGGTTTGTGACTGATTTTTAAAACCTTAAAGCAGTATTATGTTCTACTCCCTCCCCCACCAGTTTGGTCTTTATTACTATAAGGTTAAAAAAAAAAAAGGACTATGTAGTATCCATAGTCATTTTCCCATTACAATTTAAATTTTGAAGTAGCATTTATAGTAATTGATGTGCATGAAATCCCAAATTAGGAAAAGGTTTTGTTGGCATTTCATCCTACTTGAACTGTTAGTGATGATTGTGAGTGTTTGGGCTTTCACTTCCCAGGTAGCAAATCACCCTAAACTTCTGGTTTTGCATTATCAAGATGAGAAAATGTTGGGAGATTCTTTTTGCAAAGGGCACAATAGTTGGCATTCAGAAATGAGCTAACTGCAGAGGGAAAACTGCAAGCTGGCACACTGGCCTTCTTCTCAACCTTCTGTTAACCCAACAAGCTCCCACAGGTTGTTCTTGAAATTGCAAGATGATTATATGGCAGTATTGAATTTGCAACTAACTCATAATTTCAAACCATTATTAGCCAGAGGGTTGATTCCAGACCTATGTTCATGGATTTCCTCGCATTAAGTATCGGTATTTAACTGTAACTTTGTTTTAGCTCTAAGTCCATCAGTGATCTGGACTTACTTGGGGAAAAGGTATCAGACCAGGGTCACTTGGCTCCTACTATCTAATTGGAAACCAGTTTTCATGGGTGGTAAAGTTACTTGCCCTATGTTACATTTTGAATGTGAAAACTACCAAGAACACAGTTTGATGGCAAGTAGAGAACAAGAGGTCAACATTATGAACATCTTTTGCTCTTTGGGTTGAAGGAGTGTGCAAAGGACAACTGAGATTCCTAAGTGTGTACCATGCAAATGTTTGGCATTTCTCAATGAGCTATTATCAGTTCTTGCAAACTCTGCAGTTGGTCCCTTGGTTTGATAACAGCAAGTGCCCACCTACCTGAGGATGCCCAAAGTGCTTTTACCTTGTTATTACTTTGTACTTTCTTGAACCTCTTTGAAAATAGAGGGGCTCTGAAGCCCTTTTCCTCTTATGTTGTGCTAAGTCACTTTGAAATCTCCAGGGTTTTAGTTTTGTCTGCTTTCAAGTCACCCCTGCTAAACCAAAGCAAAGCAGAAATGCAGCATTTACACTTCCAATTAGTGTTAAGTTTTGAGATGAACACTCCCTCCATGACTTCTGGCCCCATCCTTATATGTTGGCTTTGTAGAGGTCCTGGGACTCTCTGTCCCCATAGTGACCTCCTTTACTCTGTGGACTCTAAACTATTACTGATGTAATACTGAGGAAGAGCTCTTCTGCTTTGTTTCCAGGCACATGAACTCCTGTTCTATTTTCTTTTCCTATTTTCTAAGGACAGTGTTAATTGTGTTGGATGTTTCTCCTGTCTTTGTAGTTCATGCTATTGTAGACACACTTGACTTACTCATTAGGCAAGTTACCTAACCTTACTGGACTGTTTTAATATCTACAGTGGGGAGAAAACTATCCACTTTATAGAGTTGGCTAATGAGGATGAAATACGGTAACACATGTAAGAACTTAGCATAGTCACAGACACAGAGTAGATGGTCTGTAAATGCCTTCCAGGGAATGGCATTAGCGGAGACAACCAGTTTTTAACCTTTACAGTGATCCTAAATTTTCCTGTAAGAAAAGGAATTGGCATTAATTTTTGCACCTATTGCTTGGGTGACAAGAAACACTCATAAATTTTATCCTGAGTTGGTTGATGATGGTTGATGATGGTGATCACATTTGAAGTGTGGAGGATAATTTTCATTCAACAATGAAGGTGAAACTCCCTGGATACACTACTTGTCTTCTCATTTGTTCCCAGCCAAACAAGATTATCACTTGTGATCCAGTTGCTCTGCCTAGAGACGAAGTTCAGTAATTATTAAAGTAGAATGACCAGAAAAACATATTTGCTACTCTACCTAATAGCAATATGGCAAACTAATTATAGCCCGGGCTACACATGGAAAAAGAACAGATCTTGTTACCTGGTGCTTAAATGTGAAGGTAGTCACAGTTAATCTATTTTGAACTATTTGTACTTTGCACCACTCCTTGAATGGTAAGTATGTTTATATACATGTAAACATTTCCTGAAAAGAAGCATAGCCAGTCATGACTTTGGGTAGAAATGGAGTAAGTAGGCATTAGCTGGGGAATATCTGGTTGATGATCAAGGGTAGACATTTAAAGAGCTGGCAGTTGATGAATGAAATGATTAATAATCATTTATTAAAAAAAAAAAAAAAAGCCTTTAGTGAGCTTTTACAGTGTTCCAGGCACTATGGCCAAGGACTGCACGTGGTTTGTCTGTGTGAATCCTCACAGCTTGTAAAATTGTAAAGAGACAGGATCAGTTCCTATTTTGCAGATGAAGTAACTAAGGTTCAAGGAGGTTAATGACTTGCGCGGGATCACCTGGCAGGGGGATGACAGGACCAAACTGAAGCCTGTCTCTGACTCCGAAACTCTGTCTCAACAGCTCTGCTATCCTGATTCTGACCTAGTTTTAGAACTATAGAAAGGAAGTGTGGCCAAACCCAGATCACTTGTCTAATCTACCCAGAGATTTTGTGTTCACAATTTGTACCAGCAAACCTCTGATTCTGGTAACTTGAAATTGGTCTTGAAATTCCCACTTGTATTAAAAAAAAACAGTTCTATTAAACTGTGACTCTTCCTGGAACCATGATACCCTTTTCCTGGAGAAACCTCTTCTCCATTTCGCTTTCCTCTGTGCTGGGTCCATGGGTAATTTCCCTAAATTGGCACCTTTCTCAGAAATTCTCTCTCAACTTGGGGCAATGATAGTTGTTGATGACTTTTGTTAGAGTTGGTAGGTTCGGTTCTCTTATCTAAGTCTTACCTCCCCCTGGTGTTACATAGTAGTTGAAAGCAGGGGATCTGAAGTCACAGACCTGAGTACATCTGGCCCTTGGATCCTGGGGCAAGTAACTTAACTTTTCTGAGCCTGTTTTCATACTTGTAAAATAGAGATAATAACCATACTTCTTACTGTACAACACATAGAACTTACTAAGCACTTAACCATCATATTATTCTTATTTGTTCCAGTGAGTGATTATGATTTTATAGAAATTAGTGTTTATTTTATTCTCTCTGCAGCTCTTGAAATATTTGAAGAAACTCTCCACCTTGCCTATTACAGTAGACATTCTTGCGGTAAGAAGCGTTACATATTATATAACTACATTCCATCCCCTTCCCACTGGAAAGGTTGTACAATAAGATCAAAAGCATGGGCTTTGAAAGTGAAAGAAACCAGACACAAGGCCATGTATTGTATGGTTCTATTTATGTGAAATGTCCAGAATAGGCAGATCTATAGACAGAAGGTAAGGGGTGGGGGGAATTGGGAGGAATGGGGTTTTTTAGGGTTATGGAAATGTTCTGGAATTAGTAGTGATGGTTGCACAGTATTGTGAGTGTCCTGGAAACCAATAAACTGTATACTTTAAAAAGGTTAAAGTGAGCCTTGCTCAGTGACAGTATTGTAGCCAATGAGGTTTATCCGAGGTGTGATTATTGCTAATTGAAAATAAAATAAAATGGTTAAAATGGTGAATTTTATCTTAAAATTAAAAAAAAAAAACAAAAACACCTTAACTTTGGCCATCAACTAGTCCTGGATTCAAATCCAAGTTCTATGACTAGGCTGTTCTTCGACGTAAAACAGAATAGATTCCTGCCTCACAGAGTTGTTGTAAGGACTCATTGAGGTTTGTATGCAAAAGCTCTCAGCTCAGTGCCTGACACCTGCTGTAATCGCTCTTGTTATTTATTGTTATAGTTGTAGAAGTGTTTTCATACACTGTTTTCCTCTTCTGAGGTTGGTGTGCTTTGCTACTGTGTGTCATTAGAGGTTTGAGGCATAGACACAAAGTAATTCTGTACTGAGACTTGCAAGGTATGTTTTAGGAAGGAGTTTCTCAAAGCAAGAGGCCTTATTTCCTTAGAAAGTTGTGAGCCTAGTTCTACCGCTAACAATTCTTTTGTCAAATCTGTAGGAGACCGGAGTTGGGAAAACAGTAAATAGCTTGCGAAAACACGAGCACGTCGGAAGTTTTGCCAGGGATCTGGTGGCCCAGTGGAAGAAACTGGTTCCTGTGGAACGGTAAGAACATTATTCTGTAGGTCTGTTCAGCGTCATGGTTAAAGCTGGCACTTGGAATATTTACAGACAGATACGTTTTCTTTATTATTCCTTCTCTGCCTTCTTATTTGAAATATTTATTTTGGGAGTGCCTGGGTGGCTCAGTCCATTAAGCGTCTAACTCTTGGTTTCAGCTCAGGTCATGATCTCAGGGTCCTAGGATCGAGCCCCGAGTCTGTCTGGCTCTGTGCTCAGCACAGAGTCTGCTGGAGATTGTCTCCCTCTCCTCCCTGTGCTCCACCCCTTCTCGTGCTCTCTCACTCTCTAAAATAAATAAATAAAATCTTTAAAAATAAATAAATAAAATATTTATTTTGCCTTGATTATAAAAATAATCAGTGATCATTATAGGATTTTAGAAGATATTAAAAAATAGAAATAAGAATAAAAATTTCTTGTAATTCTGCCATCCAAACATAAGCATTATTAACATTTTGATATGTTTCTTTCTCCCCTCTTTTTATTTATTTTTAATTAATTTATTTTTTAGGATTTTTATTTATTCGAGAGAGCAGGGAGCCAGATGTGGGGCTTGATCCCAGAACCCCAGCGATCATGACCTGAACTGACTGAGCCGCTCAGGCCCCCTATCCTCTTTATAAAAGACATTTTTATATAATTGTGAACAAACTATATAAACAACCACCCCTTTTTTTATGTAACAAGTTAAATATGTCCCCGTATTGGAAAAAAAAAAATGTTTTTTTCAATTTTTTTAAAGATTTTATTGGGGTGCCTGGGTGGCTCAGTCGTTAAGCGTCTGCCTTCGACTCAGGTCTGCTTGTGTTCACTGCCGAGAGAGGGGGAATGGGAGAGGGAGAAGCAGGCTTCCTGCAGAGCAGGGAGCCCGATGCGGGGCTCAATCCCAGGACCCTGGGATCATGACCTGAGCCCAAGGCAGACGCTTAACGACTGAGCCACCCAGGTGCCCATAAATAAATAAAATCTTTTATCTTTTTTTTTTTGAAAGATTTTATTTATTTATTGAGAGAGCATGAGCAGGAGGAGGGCCAGAGGGACAAGCAGACTCCCTGCTGAACAGGGAGCCCCATGCAGGGCTCGATTCCAGGACCCCGGGATGATGACCTGAGCCCAAGGCAGATGTTTAACCAACTGAGCCACCCAGGCACCCCTGTGTTGAAATTTTTTTAGGCATTTTTCATGTCCTCAAGGTATTTGATCTTGTATCCTGCAGTTAAATGCATCATTTTCTGTTTCTGGAATTATTTGAGTTTTCCCAATCTCAAACCTTAGTTGAGTATCTTTGAGCAGGATATTCATCCTCTTCCCAAGACCTTGTTTCTAACTCTGCATCCTTTTCATTTCTTTTTGTGAGTTCAGGTTCTGTGACTTTGTCCTCTGAACAAGGATTACACTGCAATTTATATCTGCTCTATCTGCTTTTTCTGTTATTGTAGAAACACTGAGCCTGATGAACAGGACTTTGAGAAGAGCAATTCCCGAAAGCGCCCCAGGGATGCTGTTCAGAAGGAGGAGGAGATAGAGGGGGACTACCAGGAAAACTGGAAAGCCTCCAGCAGCCAATCCTATAGCCCTGATCACAGGCAGAAAAAACACAGAAAACTCTCGGAACCCGAGAGAACTCACAAAGTGTCTCACGTTCAGGAGAGGAGAGATGAGAGAAAGAGGTGCCATAGAGTTTCACCAGTTTATTCTTCAGACCACGAATCTTCTGATTATGGCCATGTTCAGTCCCCTCCATCGTCTGCCAGTCCCCATCAGATGTCCATGGACCATTACAGATCCTTGGAGGACGACCACGAGCCCTTTGTTCCACACCAGAAGCCTGGGAAAGGCCATAGTAATGCCTTTCAGGACAGACTGGGGATTAGTCAGGACCGACACCTGGGGGATCCCCAGGGGAAAGGGCCTGTGAGTCAGAACAAGGAACACAGATCTTATAAGGAAAAACGTCTGGTGGATGCCAGGGGAGATGGGAAGTCGTCTTTGAGCAGGGAGAAATCACACAAGGCCATCTCCAAAGAGGAACACCGAAGGCCACTCTCAGGGGATGGCACAAAGGAGAAACCGCCCTCTAGTGGTGTCAAAAAAGAGAAGGAGAAAGAGGGCAGCACCAAGAAGAAGTTTTTACCCCCCTTGGAAGTCGCTTCAGACAACCACCTTAAAAACAAGCCAAAGCACAAAGACGCAGAGAAAACCAAATCGGACAGAAACAAGCAGAGTCTAGACAGCTTAGACGTAGGAAAGGGGGCGGGAGACCCGCTGCCCAAGGTGAAAGACAGGGTTTCTAACAACCTAAAGACTTCAGAAGGGAAAGTAAAAACTTCTCATTCAGACAGAAAGTCAGTGAGCTCTCTCCCTAAGGTTGAGGAGGCAGATATGGATGATGAATTTGAGCAGCCCACCATGTCTTTTGAGTCATACCTCAGCTATGACCAGCCCCGGAAGAAAAAGAAAAAGATTGTGAAAACCTCAGCCACGACTGTTGGAGAAAAAGGACTAAAAAAAAATGATTCGAAAAGCACTAATAAAAACTTGGACTCAGTTCAGAAATTACCTAAAGTGAACGAAAACAAGTCAGAGAAGTTTCAGCCAGCTGGAGCTGATTCAGCCAAGCCGAAAAAGGTAAGCCCTTCAGCCACTTGGTGGCTTCCCAGCTGGAGCATCTGGCCCTGCCGAACTCCCTGGCTGGCTTTTACGTGGCCTGTTGAATTTGTTTCCAGGCCTCTCTAGCTGCCAGGGCAGCTAGCACCCAAGATGGGTATTTCCTACATCCCATCGTGCTGCGCCCGTCTCTGTTTCCTGCCTTTGGTGGTGTCAGACCTGGCTGGCGGCCCCCCTGCAGCCTGGATCTGCTTGTGAAGTTGTCTGCCTCGTCAGCATTGCTGAGAACGGGCTGTAGGGCAGAAGGTTGTGCTCCTACGCGGGGGCTGTCCACTCACTGGTCTTGTCTCTGCAGGTCCCTGCGGACGCATTGCCGGTGTTGCCAGACCTCCCATTACCCATGATACAGGCCAACTACCGGCCACTTTCTACCCTGGAATTGATGGCCTCCTTCGCACCAAAGCGAAAAGGTAATTTTCAGCATTTTTTTTAAATGGAAAAAAAGATGATAATTTATTCACGATGTCCTAAGATTTTGGTGCACTTCCTAGCCTTCCAGGCTCTGGAGTTTGATGGCTTGGGTTTAATCCCAGCTCTGGCTACAAGTTCTGTGAACTGGGGTAATAATTTTCTTGGACTTCAGTTTCATACACTAAAAGTGGGCACAATAATGGTATCTGCCTCACAAGTCTGTTAAGTGGATTAAAAGTGATAATGCTGGTCAAGCTCTTAACTCTGGGTTTTCCCACATATTAAGTGTTCGGTAAATCTTAGCTGCTGCCGTTACTAGCTGCCCTTTATTTGATGTTCTCCGTGAGCTTTTGATCTGGAAAAAAAAAAAAGTTCTGTTCTTAATAGAAAAATAACTAAAAGCCACCTAAGTGTCCCTCACAAGAGACCATCACTAAACCATGGTTCGTCCACACAGTGGCCTCCTATGCAGCTGGAACAAATGTGGAAAGTCTGTTGGATATGGGATGATTTCTAAAATGTGATAAATGAAAGAACAACGATAGTGGGTGTTATTGGTGAAAGTGGAATAAAATACATACTTGCTTATTTTTGCATAGACTTGATGGAAGAATACACAAAACTGGTAGCATTGGTTGCCTTTGAGAAAGGGCACTGGGAGGCTGAGGAAGGGGGAGAGAAGGAGAGCTCTCCCTGTAGAACTTAGTGCCCTTTGTAACAAACAGTCTTGTCTTCCTTGCCCTGTAGCGCTCTCCTCACCCCAGGAAGAGGAAGAAGCTGGATTCACTGGACGAAGAATGAATTCTAAGATGCAGGTGTATTCTGGCTCCAAATGTGCCTATCTCCCGAAAATGATGACCTTGCACCAACAGTGCATCCGGGTACTTAAAAACAACATTGATTGTAAGTCACATGCTTTTCTCGTGCTCTAAAACACATTGTGGCAGTGGGACCTCACCATTGGGTGGCTTGGCCAATATTCAACACTTTCACCTTTGATTTTCTGCAGCAATCTTTGAAGTGGGTGGTGTCCCATATTCTGTTCTTGAACCCGTTTTGGAGAGGTGTACGCCTGATCAACTATACCGCATAGAGGAGTACAATCACGTGAGTATCCTGTTTGGGTGCAGAGAAGGCCATCTTCTGGCTCGTGTCTCCAGAAATAGCTTTGTCTCTGAGTCTGCAGTGGGTGAAGGGCAGGTGGCAGTGGCCGGTTCACTGTTCTGGGCATGTTGGTTTGCCTGCGGGCCTTGAAACATGCATACTTTTAGCACCTGCTCTGGCATCAAATTAAGATGGGTTTTAAACATTTTATTTATTTATTTTTTTAGAGAGCGAGCGAGAGAGAAATAGCATGAGAGGGGAGAGGGTCAGAGGGAGAAGCAGGCTCCCCGCTGAGCCGGGAACCCGATGTGGGACTTGATCCCAGGACCCTGGGATCATGACCTGAGCCGAAGGCAGACGCTTAACCATCTGAGCCACCCAGGCGCCCTCAAGATGGGTTTTAAAAGGACCCACTGCCCACCCTTCTCTTGAGCTTGCCTAGCCACAGAGGGCAGGGGAGAATTTTGGCAGCCCAGCCTCTGGGACCCAGGGCAGGGACAGAGCTTTGTGTGGACATTCAGGTGTCTGGTGAATATAAGAGAGCACAAGGGCACCTGGTGCCTCAGTCGGTTAAGCGGTTAAGCATCTGACTCTTGATTGCAGCTCAGGTCATGATCTCAGGGTCACAAGCCCCATGTCAGGCTCCGTGCTGGGCGTGAAGCCTGCTTGAGATTCTCTTTTCCTCTGCCCCTCCCCTCTTTAAAAAGAAAGAAAGAAAAAAGAGCACAGATGGGCTAGGTGTCTCCTAGAGACATTCCAGTGTGACCAAATGTCTTTCTTATAATGCTGGGACACATAGGCATTTGATTGCATTAGCTGGCTGTCTCTAATTCTGAGGGATCATCCTTAGGTGGTCCCCTTGCCTGGGTGTGTCATCATCCCAGTTCTACCGGTCACCAGTTTCCTCAAGCAAAAACCTGGTCTTTTTTTTTTTTTTTTTTTAAGATTTTATTTATTTATTTGACAGAGAGCACAAGTAGGCAGAGTGACAGGCAGATGGAGAGGGAGAAACAGGCTCTCCGCTGAGCAGGGAGCCGGATGTGGGGCCCGATCCCAAGTCCCCAGGATCATGACCCAAGCCAAAAGCAGCCGCTTAACGGACTGAGCCACCCAGGTGCCCCAAAAACCTGGTCTTCAACTAGTTTCTATGTTGTCTTCTCTCCTAACCCCACAACCCCCCAAAAGCAGCTAGTACAATGCCTCACACTTAACATTGTTTTAATATAGTGACTTTCTAGAACCATGGTATTTTAATATAATACTACTATGAGGACCAAAAAACCATGAGAAAAGTGGTCACCCTGAGGTAATTAAGATGGAAAAGAGATATGTCAGAGTGCTTGCATATACGTGATGCCCTGGTTCTGATTTTAGGTATTAATTGAAGAAACAGATCAATTATGGAAAGTTCATTGTCACAGAGACTTTAAGGAAGAAAGGCCAGAAGAGTATGAGTCGTGGCGGGAGATGTACCTGCGGCTTCAGGATGCCCGGGAGCAGCGGCTACGAGTGCTGACCAAGAATATCCGATCTGCACATGCCAATAAGCCCAAAGGTAACGGGGGAGGGAGGGTCCCCGGGGCGGGGGGGACCCTGGTGGGATGGGGCGACCTGGCAAAACAGTGAGCCTTGTGCTCTGGTTGACTGCAGGGCCTTAGCGGGCCGGGCTGATGTAGCCTCCAACTCCTAAATCTGTCTTGCTTATGCAGAAGCAGGGCAGGGATGGGCTGTATCTTCTGCCACCACACATACTATCTGTAGGGGTTTTCAGGGTTAATAATCCCCTGGCTTTGGGGGCACCTGAAAAGCCTTTATCTCTTAATAGTGTAGATTATTAAAATCACAGTAGGATCTCTGCTCAAAAAGGCAGGTATTGATCTCCATATTTCTCAATAGGCCGACAAGCAAAGATGGCCTTTGTCAACTCTGTGGCCAAACCGCCTCGTGATGTTCGACGGAGACAGGAGAAGTTTGGAACCGGAGGAGCAGCTGTGCCTGAGAAAATTAGGTAAGCGCTCGGCAACTTCAGGGTTTCTATGTGCTCAGGGAAAAGAGCCCCAGGAGCTTGTCATTCAGCCCTACAAGGCAGCCCAGGGGCAGGAAGCAGTTCATTTTGGGGGTGAGAGCATGGCCTTGCAGAGTGGATTTTGGAGGCCGACCTTGACCAGCTCAGCACTTGACCTACCCTGAGCCTCCGTGTCCACGACTGCAGCGTAGGCCGATAATTATTCCTGCCTCTCAGGGAGGGTAAAGATTAAATGGAGAACAGGACCTGGCTTCTGGGAGACACTCCCTTGTGCTTTCCCTTTCCCCATTTAAACAGACCATGCGCCTGGGGCGCCTGGCTGGCTCAGTCATTGGAGCATGCGATTCCTGGTCTCGGGGTCATGAATCTGAGCCCCACGGTGGATGGTAGAGATTACTTTAAACAAAAAATAAGAACCACGCTACTGTGATGACTACCTAAGCTCAGTCATACTAGCATTTTCAGAAAAAGATTTATACTCGAAGGGTGAGGTTAGTTGAGGTCCTCCATAGTGAAGGGCGAACGGCACCATCTCTGAGCCGTCGCCAGAATCGGGGGCGCTAGGGTCGGCCGGGCAGAGCCACAGAACGGGGTCTTCCTCCGACAGGCCAGCCCCAGGCTGCTGCGGCCGAGGGCACATTTCGCACACCTGGGCCTAACCAGCTGGCTCTGTGTTGCAGGATTAAGCCAGCCCCGTACCCCACGGGAAACAGCCCCGCCCCCTCGGCAAGTGGCAGCTGCAACAGCTTTAGCGGCAGCCCCGAGGAGCCAGCCTACGATGGCCCGAGCACCAGCGGTGCCCACTTGGCTCCCGTGCTCAGCACTGTGTCCTATGACCCTAGGAAGCCGACTGTGAAGAGTAAGTAGCTCGGGGTTCATGCTCACGTACCTCAAAACTGGTGTTTGCAGCCTTTAACGTCCGGCCGCTGCGTCACGTTGTGTGGGCTAGATGAGGCACGTGTCCGATGCTCTGCACGGAGCTGGTCCGAGTGCCGGTGCCCCCTTCCCCCGCTTTGTGCGTCATACACAAGGATCTTCCGAGTAATGATCGTACTGAATATTCGTTTTGGCGCTCTGCCCCCTCCCCCCTTTTTTTAAAACCTAAATGTAAACCTGTTTTTCCGAGTAATAACAACGTGGGGTTCGTAACTGTTAACTGCTCAATGACAGTCCGTGTGGAGGGTTTAAAACCTATAACCCCCAGCTTCCAAGTATTTATTTTTTATATCTAGTTGTGTGTATTTTGTATTGTATTAGGTGTATTACCGTAGACTATCTTCGGTATTCTAAGGGGGCGTCCTCCCCTAAGAGCAGGCTTCTGTATGCACTCCAGGGCCCCTGGGCGGGTAGAGGTCGTGGCGTAAGCTTCGGCCGTGCTCGGGTTAATCTCTCAGGAGGGCAGGCTCGCCATCCTTAGGTGGCGGCTACGTGGAGCTGGTCTTGGCCCTGTTGCTGCCCTGGGCAGACGGGAGTGAGAGGGCTGCTTTTTGCTGGTTTGGATACTGGGGAGGCAGAGTGAAACTGGCTCAGAACGGCCTTGAGCATCTGGAGGTAGTGAATCGCAGTTCTGCCGCCCGTTGCACAGCCTGGGGGGTGGCGGGCGGGGGTGGTCAGCCTGGGTCTCGGGGTTGGTGAGGTGGTCACGGGCCCGGCAGGCGCTCCAGCGGTGCTCCGACAGGCCGTTCTTCTGCTGTGGTGCCAGACAGGGCGCCTGCGTGTCCCCCTTGGTCTGCCGGTACGGACCCCAGAGCAGCAGGGCTGGGCCTTGATCGTCAGCCGCTCACGGTCCGTGGCCAGAGTGCCACGAGCTGAAGCAGCTGCCTTATTTCCCTTCTCACAGAAATCGCCCCAATGATGGCCAAGACGATTAAAGCTTTCAAGAACAGGTTCTCCCGACGATAAACTGAGGACTTGCCTTGGAGATGAAATTTGTGGAGAGGAGTACTGGGACACTGGGGCTTGGGGAATGGAACTTCCAAAGGAGACCAGGACCCTTTGCTTGGAGGCACCTTGCGGGCTCCGAACCCCACACGGCCCGCAGGTGTTGCCCCTTGTGAGCCTGCTGGCCGAGGCCTGGAGAACACTTCAGAACTCTGAAGAAGATGTGAAGCCTCAGTCTTACTGAGGATTTTAAGGTCAATTATACTTTTGTTGTTAATTAGCTTCTTTGTAAACTATAAGACATAGTTTTAATTAATAAATATTGCCCCCAGATTGTATTTATATTACCCCAGTATTTTTTTTCCTTTTTTTTTTTTTTTAAGGCCCTCTACCATATACTTAGCCTTTTATTTTCAGGGTCCTTTATTAAATTTAGATAAAAACCTAGTGAAAGCCATTCCCCTGTCACAGTTCAGCTCTTCTGAGGGGACTCTGGTCCAGAGGGAGGGCTGGGTGTCCTCAGAGCCTGTGTGGTGCCTTCTGCACGGAGGGCCAGGAGTGGGTCCTGGGCTGTCTGTCCTACTGGGGCGCCTTGACATGGAGACCCGAAGTGTTTAAGGTAGACCTCTCACCTCTGAGGCCCTTCCCAGTGTTGCTTTGAGTTCCTATGCAGGTGCATCTCTTTCTTCATTAAATAGTATTTATTAAAGGAGGTTATTTGTAAAGGTCTAGAGTCTTTGCCCATCCTTTTTGCCAGTTGCCACTTTTTTGAGGCTCACTAGAGGACACAGAGCCTTGGGGGATCGATTTGCACAGAACCCCAACATTTTTACGATTTACAATTTCTAATTCAAAACTTTAGGGTTTTTTTCCCCCTCCCCTGTTTTTCCTTCTCCCCACTAGCAGGGGGGGAACACACAAGGCAGGGCTTTTTGTGCCCCTACCCCCCCATTCAACTTCAGAGTCTAAGAAGCCAGCACTTTAATCTCTGGTTCCCTGTGAACTGCTAACAGAAGTGAGTGGTTTTAAAAGTTGTAATGCTGTGTTCAAAATTGGTTTTGTTTTGCCTTTTTTTAAAAGGTAAGATCATGTGATTGGAAGAGCACAAGAATTTGCTATGCTTTGCAGAGAACTTTGCAGCTGAAGCGCTCTCTACTTTTTGAGTGTTTAAACCAGAATTTGGAGGGAACGGCCAACTTAGGGGAAGTGTCTGAGCTGTAGTGTCAGGATGGGGGAGGGCCGCCAGGACACCCGCCAGGTTGGGGAAGGGAGGATCTCCCTTTCAAGCTGACATAGGAGCAAGATCAGCACTTAGGAGGGCAGCGTCGGTGCCTTTCTCGGCTGTTGACGAGCACTGATCTCACAGGAACCCACTTGGTTGGGACCCAGGGGGAAGGAGATGCTAGACATTTGAGGTGCCTGTCCTTAAGATACCTACGCGGTAGACGGCGGGCATGATTCGTAGGACAGCCTCAGGAGCTTGGCAGTTAGTCCCCTTGACAAGCTCCCTCTAAGCCCAGAATAGGGAGTGCACTGCATTTAACCATCCTGGAGACCTCAGGCTGACTGTGAAGAGCGAGCAGAGACTCTGTGCGGCAGAACCCGCAGTGTGCGTTGCTGTGCAGGCTGCCTATTGCAACAGGACACAAGTGTCGCTGTGTTTTCATTTGCTGTGTTTTTTAGTTGGGTAAAACACTATTTCTCTCGGTCTTTGTCTTACCCATTCCACCCCCACCCAGCCCTGGCCTGCTCTGCAGATCTGGTGTTAGGAAGCCTCTTCCGTAACAGCCAAGTGAACGTCTGGGTCAGGGGCCAGACACTTCCTCCTGTAAGTGTCCGCCAGCTGGACTTTGTCTCTTGGCTGTGTGTTCAAGTCTTGGTCATTGAAACCAGTTTTTCATACTGCAGATTCAGTTGTGTAGGATTTCATTTCCTTTATTAGGAGTTTTTAGGCAGGCAGGGAAGGAAGGACACATTTGTTCATGCCAACATCACCACCCCTTTTTAGCACATACAGATTTCTGATCAGCCCTGTTTGCCTCGAGCCAGATCTTTCCCTCCTCCCCCTCCAAGAGTGTCTGCATCAGGGATGTGACTTGGTGAGAAGGGTAAGGAGGGAAGAGAAAAAGCCGAATTTCTGAACAACCTTCTTACCTGGTTATTGAAATGGCTGCAGAGCAGACACACAGGATGATGTTGAACCTTTGGTCTCATTTGTGAAAACGTGTGCAATCTTCTTCCTGTGCTACACTACATACAAATCACCAAATTACAAATTAACCCTTTGTGATCCTTGGTGTAATGAGCAGTTTCTTTGGGGCTTTCTCTTTCCGGGAAGTGGGAGGGAAAGGAGCAAGGTATCATCCTGCTCTTCATTTGTATTTTGGTCCCAAAATGTAAATACAATTTTCTATGTTACTTTTTTGTGGTAACTACCAAGATGAATATTTTAATTAGATAAGTTATATGAAAAGGAAGGAAAATTCCATGTCTAAATAAAAAAAACAAACAAACCCATATACTGTGTTCTTCTTTCCTATCTCCCTTATTGTGTCTGAGAATGGCAGTTGGTCACCAAGTGTCTGGTTCCTGGGCTGTGAGGTGGAGAGCTTAATCCCTGGACCTGGACCGGGCTTCATAAAGGACGTTGGGTTTCTGTAGCAAAGCGGGCCTGGGGGATGGGAATCTGGGGAGAAGAACCCTTGAGCAAAGGGAGGAACCTCAGATGACAAGGAGTACCTCCTGGCACTGAGGCATTAACCCCATATTACAAGCCAGAAGCTGGGGCTCAGGGGTGAAATAATGCAGCCAATCTGCAGCGAAGGTAAGGATGTGAAACCCAGGTTCTCTGGCTGCAAAGTGGGTGCCACTCCACCTGCCAGTCCCTGGGGGGTGTGAAGGACCCAGGTAGGTCTCTTCAGTCTTACACGGACTTGCCAATGAGAGCATAATGACAATTAACGCAGAAAGGTCATGTCAGCAAGAACTTAAGGCCCTGGCTGAGCTGCAGGAGCTTCAGCCTTTCACTAGTGGAGCCCAGGGCTTGGTTGCAGCCCCTGCATACATTGGATTGTATCTTTATTATGAACTGGGGGCGGGAGGGGGGACAGAGGGAGAGAGAATCTTAAGCAGACTCCGCGCCAAGCAGGGAGCCCAACACCGGGCTGGATCTCACAACCTTGAGATCAGGACCTGAGCCAAAACCAAGAGTTAGACGCTCAACCGACTGAGCCACCCGGGTGCCCCTATATTGGATTGGATCTTACATCAAACCTACAACATCTCCCAGAAGCACATTTTTATTCTCTCCTAACGAGGGCATTCTTGGTGTATGGACTTAACTTTCCCCAGCCTTTACTGGATCGAATACTCACTCTAAGAAGTTACAATGCATTTGAGGTAAATTATGGAACATGGTATCTGATGGATGATTTTACCTGGAGTTTGTAAGTTAGCACCTTGTCCTTTACTCATTAATTCAACATTTGCTGAGCCAGAACCTAGATTAGACCCTGGGATACAGAGTAGCACACACGTCTGGCAGGCAGTTAGGTAAGAGTAACTGGCCTCACTGGTTCTGAACCCACCACTTGGCAGGCACCGCTCTGACTCATCCACATTGTCTCGGTTATCACGGTATCTTTGCAGGTAGGTGGTCAGGGCCCCATTTTTAAAAATGAGAAAACTGAAGCACAGAGAAATCAAGAATGCCTGCAAGCTCACACAGTCGGTGAGCAGGGTGCTGTGTGCTGGCCCAACTCCCAAGCACATGTTGTCAGTCACATTAAACCATCTCTACAATCACACACACCCGAGTTAGGCCGAACGCCAATGCAAAAAAATGCCCTAATTGTTGCGACCAATGATTTCTTCTCTTTGCTGCACATAATTAATGCCCAGAAGAACCCTCTGGCTGGCTTATCACCTTGGCAGATGCCCCCCTTCACAGACTTTCTCCCTTAAGGTTCCACATCCACTTCAGTCTCTGATGATTTGCCCAAATGGTGAAACAGGCAGTTTGTCCTCACAGACCCCCAGACTTCTCTTTCTGTGATGCCTGCTGTCTCAACCCCTTTCAAAAACCTCTGGGGTGGGTGGGAGGATGGGTTAGCCTGGTGATGGGAATTAAAGAGGGCACGTTCTGCATGGAGCACTGGGTGTTATGCACAAACAATGAATCATGGAACACTACATCTAAAACTAATGATGTATGGGGATTAACATAAGAATAAAAAAATTAAAAAAACAAAAAACAAAACCTCTGGGGAAAGGGCAAGCCATTAAAATTGTATATCACTATACCTGTGTTTCTCAAGTATAGAATCTCTGGGGTTGGGGCCCCAACATGCACATTAAAAAAAATAAAAAAAAAAATTCTTAAAATGTTCATTAAAAAGTTCGAGAACTGCTCCGGCTGATTTGCCACAAATAGTTTACAAGCCCTTTGCAGCTGGCCCATGGGTCAGTGCTGGGAAGTTTGTACATTCGGTCGCACGGCACACACTTTGCCCCCCACCCTGTGTCACTGAATCAGACAGACATGGTCCCTGCCTTCCTGGATCTTCCCTCTAGTAGGGGAGGCAGTAATCAGATTACTGCACCAAGCATTAGCTAAAACATAGATTTCTTCTGGGCCCCACTGTGAAATCTGTTCAAATAGGTCAGAGGGCCTTCCCCAGTGATGAGCAGCCTGGTTTGGAAATGCCTAGTGTAGTGGAAAAACTATGCATGAGCTTTGAAGAGAGGTCCAGGTTCAAATCCTGTCTCCACCATCCTTTAGCTTTGTGACACCTCTTTGACTTAGTTTCCTTGCCTGTAAAATGGGAATAATGACACCCCATGGGAATTCTTGTAAGGATTCGGTGAGAGAAAGGGAGCTCAATACGTTTTAATGTCCTTCCTTCATTCCCTCGAAATGTGGAATGAAAGGAAAAGCTTTATTTCCTATTGATGTGAATTGAAGCTTAGGGTCACAAGCTGAGCACTATTTTGAGGTCAGCAAGTCCTTCCTGATAACTGAAATCCTAGTCTGTGCCCCAGACAGGGTCATTCAACTTTTCTATTTTTGGACTCCTATCTATTCTTTCAGGTCCCTTACACTATAGCCCCTAACAACCACAAAAACAGCAGACTCTACCTAATTCCTTATCTCAGGAATCACAAACTCATATGCCAGGAGTTTGGTAGAAGATAATAGCGGGGGTGGGTGGAAACAGGAAATGAAAGCTATTTACCTAGATCCACCAGATTGTCTCAAGGTGGAAGGCAGGGCCCAGTGCTGCCACATCCTTGGAATTTTAAAGAAAAGATGGAAATCTAGAATTGTTTGGGTTTTTTT